CTGATTTTAGATTGTTTCTATGAAAATTTACTAATATTCCTTGTTGAATGGTAGTGCCGTGTGCCTATTTTACCACTTTGAGGTTCATCTATCTATCATTATTGACTTAGAGTGCACCGTAATACTGCATTATGTAAAATCATGGACTGGTTTGAAATAGCCAGATTAATCTGATATTAGATTCTTTTAATCAAAATTAACTAGCATACCTTGTTGAATGGTAATGCTGTGTGCCTATTTTACCAATTTGAGGTACATCTATATATCATTATTGACTGATAGTGCACCATAGTACTGCATTGTATAAAATCGTGTATTGGTTTGGATTAATGGTTTTTAGTATATTCTGCTAAGATTATATTGTTTGCTTATAAGTAAAAAAGTAAGTTGAACTAATAATTTTATAGGTTAATGTTGGAAATAAGTAAGTTACTTATCTTAACAGTAAGTTAAATGTTCATTTCACAACTTCTGTAAATAAGAAAAATGTAAAATACCTGAACATGTTTCGAACAAAAGTTACGTAAAAAGTAAATTTTACTTTTAGTTAACTTAGCCAAGCACAATATTTCTCTCTAGCAACATCAAATTTTAAACGGTCAACATTTGGTTATAGGATCTGCAATATAGCCTACCGTTGCGACGTCCATTCCTCTTTTTGCTCAAATGTTATGATATGATGGTCTTTCATTTTGTCACATTATCACTTAAAAAGATGAACTTTGAAGGTTGTCCATTTTGTGTAGAATTTCCAAGGGGTGGCAAAGGGGTATAGGTTGGATTGGATCTGAATGGAGGAGACAATACGGGAGTGAAAGATGAGGATGGAATCGGTTTCTACGATGCTGTTGATAGAATGGAGGGGGAGAGAGTGAGTGACTGAGTGCCTCAACTCAGAGAGAAGATATCTGTTGGATTGATTATAATCATTGATTTCTGACCAGAAGTGGGGTAGAACTCTATAACTAAGAATATTGACTTTTTATGCAATTTTATGTATGGATCATATTATAAGGCCTAATATAGGAGTTTATTTGAAGCAGTTGCATCAAGTCTAAGAAACGTAGTCCAATCCACCTTCCCCTGTACTTCTGTTCTCACTGGCTTTTGATTATTTCATTTTCTTAATGATGAATTGATTATATAATATTCAGTAAGTAATTGTTATATTTAATACTTGCATCCTTTCATTTTCAGTATCAACTTCGGCGAGCCTCTTTGACAGAGGACGATGCATTTGCCTTTCTGAAGGCTGATAGCGATGGAGATTACATTACCTTCTCTGGTTTCTGTGAAGCATTGCGACAGGTTCATGATACCTCAGTTTTACGTACTTGCACATGGGTTGAGCTAGACATTCTCACAGCTACTATTGTTTGGTGTTCCCACAGCTTAATTTGATCGGCCACTGCTATGGACTGAGTGTTGAAGAGAAAAACGACTTGTGGATGCAAGCGGACATTGACGGAAATGGTGTTCTTGATTACAACAAATTTAAGGTATTGTCTCCATTTTTGCAAATTATGATTCTGCTTATGCATCTTATTTGCTTTTCTAAATCTGCACTTAAAAGTGAATTTGTTTTCCGAGTTGGTGCACTGTAAACGAGCTAGGCAAACTTCATTTTGAAGGCTTTAACATCTTTATATAAAGCTTAGCATAGCAGAATTTACACATTTTGGTGATTTTTCAGTAGTGTGTCTATCTTTGTGCTATGTTTTCTTTTTACCTTTTCTTCTTTATACATGGGGCATTGCAGCAGCGAATGTGGAATATGACATGGTCAGATCAAAGAGAAGAAGTGAGCAATGAGGTTGGAGACGATGTCAATGTAACAGAGCAAACTATAGGCTTCAATGTCGAGAATGCAGTTCTATTTCCCACCGAAGTAGAGAAAGGAACTTGGCCCGAAGATTATTCGCTTTCTGATCATGCCCGACTTACTTCTGTGTTTTCGCCAGTAAAAATGCCTTGTTCTCGAACGATATTATGATAATTTGTTTGTCACTTCTAGAGTCAGACATGATATTTATTGAAGATAATCGAAGTAACCGAATAAGGGTCGACGGTCGCTTTTATGGACAACGTACTGGAGACAGTCCGTCCAATATTGTGTATAAAACATATGCACAAGGAGCCTTGCTGCAACAACTTCAGTTTATACGTGCCACCGTGTTTTGTTTAGCATTTTTGTTCTAGACTGCAATAGAAAGAGTGACAGAATTAGCAATCCCCCTTCTGTAATTTGGTGAGATTGTAAGCTCGTTTCTTTTGATTCTTTTCTGTACTTAATACGTATATTCCTCGATGGAATTAGGGAATTGTATGAAATCCAATTATTTGTAAAACTGAATATTTAGAAATTTTCATTTTTATTTAGTTCTTTTACCCCCGACCAATTTTTGAAAAGAATAAATAGTGGAGTTATGTCTTGGATATTTTTCTGATTTTCAGGGGGATTTAAGTAAAAAAAAAATTAATAAAAATTTAAATTAAAGTCAACGTTTTCATAAATTTTATTAATTTTTTAATTACACCTTTAATCAATTTTTGTTACTCCATCTAGGTCACGTGTTTGACGTGGTAGGCTCCAACCAAGTCCATATCTATTAACTGAACGTTGGAATGGGCCCGTTCACTTGGTTGGCAGTGAACGTTTTATTTGAGGCCATTGATGTTTGTTTAGTTGTCAGTTTTTGTCCCTATTCTTTTTTCTTTAATGAAATAAAATAAAAATAAAAATGACAGCTTTCATTCATTAGAAGCCTACACACATATAGAGGGTGTTTGATGGGAATTAAAATTTGATTTTTAGTAAATTGTGATAGAACTTTTTGAAATGTGTGGTTAAAAAGATGTGGGACCCACAAAAGACGTGGTTAATATTGATTGTTTGACTTTGACTTAGATTAAAATCAGATTTTAATCCAGCCCAAACAGGCCCATAATTTAATTAGTAATTAAGTGCTACATCAGTCCAAGATTGCAAATTTTTTGACCTCTTTTAGCCCCTGTTTGTCTACCATTATTCCAAAAAATTGTTTACTGCAGTAAGATTATCCACGACACATTCACCCAATAAAATATTCTACACACAAATCAATAAAATTACTATAATTTTCAACCACATATTCTCCAAAAAATACTATTCATTACACTAATTTTCTCGTAATAATGGAAGACAAACAAGCTTTTAATGTTAACAGCTAATTAGATAATACAGAATGTAGTTACAGAACTTTTTGATGAAGCAAGACATCCCACATGGGAGAAAATCTTAGTGACATGAACTATCCAATTATTTAATTCCCATGCAAGATTAGCAAAGAAAATGATGACAAATCTTTACACTCAAAACCTACTCATTAAACTTTCTAAATCCAAAGAATCTCTTAAACAGAAGCCTCCATAATTAACTTATAATTAAGAAAGCTGTTATGAACAGTTAAGATTAATATATAATCCACAATGCAAATAAATATACATAAACAGGAAAAGTTAAAAGAGCCCATATGGATTCTGTATATAGTCATATCTTCTGTTGGTGCAAAAGTTTGAGGCTTGTGGGGCATGGAAAATCTGCAAAATTTGGAGGCACAATATGTGGAAATGATGGTTCCTCTCTACTCTCATGGCTGTGAGAAGAAAGTCAAGAAGGCTTTTGCCAATGTCGAAGGTAATAAGCTGGTCGTTATCGTTTATTGTGTCAATGGTTTGTCAAACTATCTCTCTTAAAAGATTTATCTTTTAAAGATTTATTGAAGTTATATAAGTACGTCTTCAAAGTTCAAAACATGACACCTACATAATTTGCTCAAATGGTAGACGACAAGAGTCGAATTCTAAACCTAGTTAAAAATTGTCAAAAGCATTGCATAAACAATTATCATAAAATCTCTATATGCTTGATACTAACTTATTTAAGAGTTTAAACGGTTAAAAATTTATCTTCCGTATTGGGTAGGTATATACAAATTTTGATAGTTTTTTATCATTGACAAATTGAGCCCTTCCTGGGAACCTTATTATTAATTTATCGAATTTTACTTAAATTATTATTATTATTTTTGATAATTCAATGGGAGAAAGCATGTTGAGACACTATCAATCATAAATAATATTCAAGTTTACGATTCGTTTTCTTTTTCAGAGTATATTTATCTTTGCATTGCATGCATCGTTTAAATCACGACACGTTCAAATAGATCCTTAGAAAAATAGGTCAGTTAAATCTTCGATATGAAATTTATTAGAAAATTATTCGATTAATTAAAAGATTCACAATCAATAACAAGGTCACGTGATTAACATTAAAAAGAAATACGTTTTTCTAACTTAACATGAAATTTACAACAATTATTGATCATTGGATGAAGTGAAATGTACTATACTAAAAACTATCAAGAAAAGAATGTAAAATGGAATTTGAAGAAATAATATGCAGTATTTGGGGTCTTTGGGCGAACAAAATTATTAATTGGACTGAAAAAGAAATTATGAAAACCAACAAGGATGTCTATGTAAATACTAAATTAAATATGGTGAAAGCAACAAATGAAGACCGCAGACCTCTCCGTCTCGCAACACTCCGCTTAGAAGGAAAAGAATAGTGCTAGTCATAGAGAGATTCAAAGCTCTCTACCCTTCTTCGCAGGTATGATTTTCGTTAAATTTCCCTTTAACCTGGTCAGTTAAATTTCCCTTTTTCCTGGTCAATTTTAATTTTATACGAACTGTTTTTGTTATCAATCTTATGCACTATCTAGTTATTTCAAGATTAGTAGTAGTAAGTTCTTTAGTCATTGTTTATCTAAGATTCTTGATTCGTTTTTCTTGAATTGACTTTCTTAATTATGGGTGTAATTTATACTCTTAATTTATTAAATTACTGGAATAATTCTTTGTTTCTTGATTATGACTTTGATTAATCATAATCTGATGTAAACTTTTACTGGGTTTTGATTGATCAGTTTATGTAATTGTTTGTTACCCACCAAGAAATGATGGGTTTAGGGTCTTTGGGCAGTGGAGTGCGAGGAAACTCATCGTCATCAACCTCAAATTTATCAGCTTTAGCCCCGCCTTTTACTGTTGAAAGATCAAACCCTAAACTCAATTCTATCCCAAATTTGCATTTCTCGGATTCATCATATGCTACTGCACGAGATGGCCAAACATGGCAATATCCACTCCCTTCGGCCCCTGGACCTGAATTAAATATTGATTCCACAATAGTTACTAGCTTCCCTTTCGCATATTCCAGTCCTGGGCCTATTAGCCCACCCAGTACTGATTGGTCTGCGCCCATTAGCACTCCTGGTGCCAATTGGTCTGCTTTGAGCACTAATGCTAAAACTTCAGCTGATGTGCTTTCATATGCTGGTGAAGTCAAGCCTTATTATTCCCCTTATGTTTCTCCTATAGTTGGCAAAGATAGTCCATCCGTTGTTGACTATGGGCCTTTTTATGATCCGAGGGCCACTTCTGGACCGGATTTATCCCCTCAAGTCGATTACATCCAGGCCTTGTCCGGCTTGGAATACGCTTCACAGTGGGATGATGCTTGGGCATTTGATGATGGGAAACAGGCCAAACAGGTAGAACTTGATAGGAGTTTTTCTTCCAAGAAGGTGAATATTGGTGATTCACTTGTTCCTAAAAGTTATATTAGCCCAGGTATGCTTTTTATTATTTCTAGAATGTGATTATTTGTGATGACATGAGTTTGTATTTTAGTTATCGATCTTGCATATTAACTTTTGCTATTCTTATTTGAACAATTATTTATGGTCTTCGTTCCTTCAATTACCCTTAGAAAGTTAATGTTTTGTATGAACTACAGATTATTTCTCTTTTCAACAAACAGTAATGGCATGTTTAGTAGAGATGATTAGATCGTAGTGTACATTATTAAGGAAGAGAATAAGCTAAAATCTAATTTATTATATTGTGCAATCCGTCCTACTAATGGTTTGCAGGGATGGTGTTGGCTGTGATCATGGAGAGGCTGGAGGGCACTGTTCCAGCTGTAGCAGTGTGTGGAATATGTGCACTTTTCTATATGGAGGACCTAAAGAAACATAAAAGAGATACAGAGTACAAAATAGTCTGTAAAACAGAAGTAGCACGTGATTATATTTTAATCATATAATCTAAAACTCCAAATTTGTTTAAAAGAAGCCCACCACATCAACTCACTGTAAAGATTAGCCAGTTTCAGTATCAAAGAAGACATAGGGGAAGCAAAATGAGAAGAGAAAAAAATTGATTCCTAATAGTTGAATCACACTATCATAGCACAAGTGAGTAGATAAATGAAAAAGAACCCTAACAATTCATTTGTAGGATTGACTAAGCCCTTGTTTGAGCCCCATTTTTTGACCCAAAAAAAATGCATTTTTGAATAGTGTTTTGATTTATTTCAACCACACATTCTTCAATAAAATAATATTATACGCAAACCCAAAACTTTCCTTATTTTTTAACACACATTTACCATCAATACACTATCCAAAAATACATTTTGTGACAAAAATGGGGCTCAAACAATCCCTAAGGCAGGCATGAATAATGAAGCTTTATCTCTGACTGCTTATGGGCTTTTGATGATTTTGGTTTGTCGTACATTTAGCCCCTGTTTTCTACAACTAAAAATGCTGATTAAGGATCTCTCTCTCTCTCTCATGTCAATCTTTCTTTAGAATCACCCAAAATTTCCTCTTTTTAAGGATCTCTCTCTCTCTCTGTTACACACGCGTTCTGCTATGTGCAGGAGGAGTTCATAGTATTGGATATGGGAACAGCTGTAAAGAAGATTTTGGTATATCATATGGAAAACTCAATCATGTTTCCGGAAGAGAAAGCTATATTGGACATATGGATGACAAATCATGCTTGGGGCAAAATCATAGCTTCCTTTCTTATGAATCTTCTAGAATGCCTACATTGATGTCTGGTTCAGCATATCCAAAATCTCGCCCTCTAGAGCTGTCTCCTGAACAATCTAGGAACTTCTCACACCATCAAAAGCTGAAAGGTCCATATGAAAAATGTTTGCAACCCCTTGAATCATCCTTTAGTGGTTCTATGTCGATAACAAGATCTTCCCCAGCTGTGGTCATCAGGCCTCCACCTGCCGGAAACAGTTCATTTGCACAAAACGCCGCTCCTAAAACAGTGGACGTAGACAATAATTCAGGTGTCCACCAGGGTGAATTTGATGTCAGTAATAGTGCCAAACAGAATGATCCGTGCCTAAGACCAATTGAAGCTTCCTTCGACACTGGCCAATTCACGTCTCACAAAAAAGGTAACGATAACGTATTTTTTGTACAGCCTACAGTGAAGGAATCATCAAGCCAAGTGCATTCTAAGGAAATCTTTGGTCATAAAACTGAAGCAGGATGTGGATCTCATCTGCCCGGTATAAATGTCTCAGATGGCTTCTCTTTGGCTGCAAATGGTGTTCAAGTTGTGAAGTCTACTGAGAATTCTTCAGATAGCATAGATAATTATGCTCCTGCAGTTGACTCACCCTGTTGGAAAGGAGCGCCTGTTTCTCACTTTTCGCCGTTTGATGACCTTGAAGTTGGCGAGTCACCTTGTTCTAAGAAGAAATTGGAAGAATGTTATGATTTTGATCATGAAGCACATAAGCTTTTCCTCTCATTAAACGATTCCAAGAGAGCCTCCTCTCAAAAGGCATTCGGAGGCACAAACCATGATGAAAGTCGATGTGCAGGAAATATTATGCCACTTTCTTCTGAGAGAAGCTGGGATGCTAATTGTCCGACTATAGAACAGAGTTCAACCGATGCTTTAAAAGATGGATTTGAGATTTCATCTCTGAATAGCAGTAAAGGAGTTGGGATATCTAATCCCCTTCACAAGCCTAAGAAAGAATTTGTCCCTAATGACTCAATGAGTGTGTACGGCCAGAAAATATCCAATGCAAAGCATTCCAATGCTGAAGTGAATGATATCCCATATATGAAGCTCGGTTTACAGGCTAGTGCTGCTAATTATGTGATGACCTTTAATGATGCTTCTGAAGGTGGCAATGTTGCATTTCACGCTGCGGAAAATGTTTTATGTTCACCTTCTTCAGAGGAAGATGCCTTCGAGGATGATAAAGTAGAGACCAATCCAAATTTGGATGTTCAACCAATGATAAATGCAATTCATGCCCTTTCGGAGTTTCTTGCGATGAATTCTACAAATGATACATTTGCTCTGGCAGAGCATAACTATGATGCTCTTAAGCACGTGATCAGCAATCTTGAGGCGTGTATGACTAAGAAAATTGTTCATAGAACTTTGAACAAGGAACCAGTTGTTTCCGCTGGAGACATTTTGGGTAAAATTGTGGATACTCATGATATGGTATGTCATTTATGTGATATTCAGACTCAAATTAGCCTACTATTAAGCTTCCATTTGGCAAAATTTATAGACTATTTATAAATGGTCAAATTTCATTTTCAACCACACATTCGAATGGACCACAAGTATTATCCACCTCTCATTTCTATCTATTTATAAATAAACTGTTTATAATTCTTCCCAAAATTGGAGACAAAGTTAACATGTTAGGATATTGCATAGAAATAAATAATCATGCTCGTCCTTTTCTGTCAATTCTTGTTTATAGTGACTTGATCTGTCTATCTGAACTTTTAGTTTCTATTATCTCTGAATGTATAAAATATAGCATATCCCATGTCTGGGATCTTTAGAATTTCCTGTATAATCATTATCTTTCTTTAATAATAAGCTAAATAATTGCTTTTATCAGACTACTGTTGTAGGCAAGCCTCAAGTTACAAATGAAGCTCTAATCTTTCACGAGCGACTTGATTATCAGCGAATGCATGAAGAGAAGAGAGGTAACCTTTTTCCTGGTAAGAAAGCTGAGAGTTCATCACTTGTTTCACCCTTAAGGGGTGATGCGGACTTACCAACAGACCATAATATGGCCCAGGTATGCTATTATAACATGTTTGGTAAGGTATTATGAAGGAAAAAGAAGTTAAAATCTTGTCCATTTTACTTGTGGGGTCTAATGTTGTATGTCAAACATGCACTTAGCTTCTCATTGTAGTTTGGAAGGATCATTGTGTTGGAGAAGTACAAAATTTAAATTATATGCGTGTAATGCAAGTATACTCGGTATTGTTGGCTTGTAGGCTATAAAGAAGGTCCTCGATGAGAATTTCCTCTATGATGAAGAAATGGACTCACAAGCACTTCTCTTTAAAAACTTGTGGCTTGAGGCAGAGGCTAAATTATGTTCCATCAGCTATAAAGCTCGCTTTGATCGAATGAAGATTGAAATGGGAAAGTTCAAATCCAAAAAGGAAGAAGGTTAGCTTTACTTTTTGGTGGAACTTATGTTGTTATCTTGCCATCCATTAATTGGAAGCTGTAAATGTTCTCAGGAAATTGCGCGGTTGTTGAGAAGAAGTTGAATTTTCAGATTTCACCCAATCCAAGCACAGATTCCAATCGCCCACCTGTGGATCAAGATGGTGCAATTCCCAAACCTGGGGTCTGGAATGCTTCTGTTCCCAGCACAAGTGGCGATGCCGATGATGTTGCATTGGTGATGGAAAGATTCCATATCTTGAAGTCTCGGAATGACGGCAAAAACTCAGTAAATACAGAAAAGGAAGAACTGCAAGAAACGGATGATTTTGAGTATGCGGGTTCTAAAAACCCTGCCCATAGCCACGGTGATGAGGTTGAGGCATCCATCATGGACAGATTCCGTATCTTGAAATCAAGGAATGACAACTCAAAACTAATAAATATAGAAGATGAACAACAGCCCAAGATGGATGATTTTGAGTATACGGGTAAGAAAAACCTTGGGCCATGCACAAAAGACCAATCAGAATGTGAAAACTTAAATGTGGACGTGAAAACTCATTTCCCGCAACGAACCAGCAGTCTCAGTGAAGGAAAATTCGGCTCTTTTGTTGACGTGTCTGGATACGAATCTGTGAAAGAGTTCCGTCGCTCTGTCAGAAATGATCCGATGGTACATTCATTAACTAATGACATGCTGAGAAATCAATTTTCATCAGGATGGTATGATAATTCCACTTCAGATTGGGAACATATACTCAAAGATGATTTTGCATGGAAAAATTGAGATTACCATGGAGCAATATCTCTCTGTAATTTGTCCTAGTACGTGTTCAGTAACAGTACTTATCCATACTTCCAAATGAAGAAACGTTATTGTATATAGTGTTTTAATCATGGATTTCAGAATCTATGTTTAACTTGTTAATGATTTCGAGTTATTGCGTATATTGGTGTTTTTCTTGTGATTAATTGAATGAATTCTCTCTTCTTGCAAATCATTTGGAATGATTATGGCTAACAAAATGACATCAACATGGTTAACAGTTTTAGTTTTCAATTCATTGTACGGGGCTTCTGGAAGAATGCATTCGATAACAATCACTATTCCATTCCCTGGAACTGCTTCGTAGCAATTTTTCAACAATTTTTGGCAGTGTGTATCGCTCCAATCATGACAAATTCACTGGAGGAGAAGACAATAGCGATGAATCAAACATTCTCATTCATGAACTTTGCTAATGACACTACTCATCGAATCAACTCATCTAAGAATTTAATCCCCTATATGGTGCGGATTAAAAGTTGATTAAAATTTCAAGTCAAAGTCAACAATTAATTTTAACCACACATTTAATGCGACCCACAACTTTTCAACACATTTCATCAACTTTTACAAAAATATGATTTAGTCAACACCAAACAAGGGCTAAGTAATGGAAAAAATCGTATCTTTATTTATAGAAATTGCATCTACAATATGCTCTCTTAACATGATTATTTTTTTCCACCAAAGAGCCTTACATGTTCAATTTTCACTACAAAAGAAAGGGGATCTGGCGACCACGAAAGTTGGTCTATTTTTCGTCACTAAAGACCTTTAGCGACCAAAAAATCGTCATAGCCGGTTGCACAGAGACTTTTCTGGGCGAATTTCAGCCACAGAATGCGGAGTCCATTTCAGCTCTTGGACTCATCCAAGACCTGAATTCAAACTTTAGTTTTGAAGCGAATGCTTCGATCATAGATGATATTGTAGCATTTATTATTATTATTATTTAGGTTTTAATTACTGAATTTGTTCCTGTAAATGGAAATTGAGTAGTTCACACACTTGCATTGTTCCTTCTGATGGATGTTAACCGGGATCCTATTGTTATTCTGAGTTCAAAAACAATAATTAATAGACAGCAACTTTGGCAGGAATTTTAGATCCTAATTAGAGGTCAAGTAATAGACATGTTACTCAATAAGTTTGAGTGACGAAAAGAAATATCTAATTATGATATCGTCTAGGATCAAATAGCATATGTTCCTCAACTCTTTTTCTCGAAATTATAGCACGTATCCATGATGTTGTCAACATTATATTGACAATAATGCTAGTAGTACATAATTTTTGACCATAATAGTTCGCATAACACTCACATGGAATGGAGCCCACATTTGGTACATAATTTTTTACCATAATGGTTCACATAACACTCGCATAGGGTGGAGCCCACAAAACACTCACATTTTTGTGGGCTCCACCCCATGTGAAAAATTATGTACACATAGCATCACTCTTATATTAAATGCTTAACTAATAATTTTTGTGTTTCACAATGAAATGTATATTGGATGTCATGCATGATCGACCCTTTCAAATTTAATTATAATATACATATAGTTCTATTAAATTTAAAGTAAATATATTTATTTTATTATACTTGCTACTTTTATTATATAAATAAAAGACTTATGGAAACATTCATTTTTTCCTTGTAAGTAAATTTTATTTAAACTAATTGATTAACAATTAGACATGAATTGGGGATTAAATCAAGGAAAGTGATTATTTTTAATTATTTAATTAACGGAACCTACCTCTACATAGATGTCCAAAAATTGGAATTAGAGGTTTCCTATATGAGCACTTTTTTTTTTAACAATAATATTTCACATCAATTAATTGATTAATCTTTTTATTCATTGTCATGTTACCGTTACTTCACATAAGTTAACATCATCTAGAAATGAAGCTTGTAGAAAGGATACAAATTGATTTATTTAATTATTTGTCTCTGACAAAGTTCAAATAGGTTTTAGTACACCGACGAACAACGGAATCATACATCAACACATAAAATATGCAATTGTTGAAATGAAATGAATATTAAGGGAAAAAGCACCCTTAATTTTTTAATTCTTGAAAAGTTCCAAACAGTGTTCTTGATCCAGGTTCCTGCCCCAGAATTTCTTGTAATACTCTGCATATGTATAGTCTCTATAAATGGGTGGAGATCCATCATTGGTGAGTTCCTTTGGTGCATTGATTACAGCATCATTGGATGGACACAGGAATGAGGCTACTGAAATTCTTGCTTTATCAGAATTTACTACAGCTCTATGCCAAACACTTTTGTATTTCCCATTACTCACTGCCTGCATATGTATATGTCAACACTAGAGTTGCCACATTGTGTTAAGAATTGAGGTTTTATCTTAAAAGTTTAACCTTATTAAGAGGAATAACTTAATCTTTTATAAGTTGGTTTATGTTTACATCTTTATTTGATATGAGATTCTATCCCTTAACATGCCCCCGCAAGATGGTGACTCGTTTGAGCGGACCAATCTTGAAATCCGTATGCTCACTTTTGGAGTCTTAACAGGATCGAATTGCTTGTTAGAACTTAATGGGCTCTGATACCATGTTAAGAATTGATATTCCATCTTAAAAGGTCAACCTTATTAAGAGGAATAACTCAATCCTCTATAAGTTGATTTATGTTTACATCTTTATTCGATGTGGGATTTTATCTCTTAACACTTTGCACCTTTTAGATATGAATATGAATATGAATTTGATGGGTTCACTTAATCGACCCTAAACTTAAAGTTTCTCAATTTGACTCGAAAAAAATAAAAGCCGAGCCTCGACTAATTTGCGACGTACCTGTAATTGATCACCAATGTTGATAACAAGAGCATTTGGGAGGGGTTTGACTGTAAGCCATTTGCCATCCTTGAGAACTTGCAGGCCTGAAACTTGTGTGTCCTGAAGAAGAATAGTGAGTGAATTTGGGTCTGCATGGGCCGGAAGCCCATAAGTGAGTTCGGGCTCTGGACATGGTGGATAGTAGTTAATAGACATGTGTTGTCCTGGTTCGCCCAAAATGTTCTCTATGCAATCTTTTTCAAGGCACAAACTTTCTGATATGGCCTGCTGCAATCTCAGCCCAAGGTATCGAATTTGGATACAATATTTGCTTACAATTTCCCTTCCAATTCCCACGATTCAACATTGGATCATGAAAATATGAAAATATTAACATTCATATGATTAAATTAAATAAATTTAATTTGTGATATATTAAAAATTAATAAATAAAAATTGGAGTTCTACATTTTTGACATTTTATATAAGAATCAATTTATTTAATCCGACACATCACATAAGGGTCTGTTCGGTAGCTTAAAATCCAATTAAAATTGAAAATATGATCGTTATTGGGTCCCACTCGTTTAATAAAAGTCAACAATAACGGCTAGTTTTTCAATTTTAATCCAATTTTAATTTCTATCGAACACGTCCTAAATTCGACCTAATGTCAACACTCTTTTAACAGTTGAAACAACAAACATTAAAAAATCTAGAAGTGCTGATTCAGATCCTCATAAGCACACACCATATTCTTTTGAAATAATATCAATTTTAGTCCATGGTCTTAAAATTTTAAAAATCAGAATTATTTGAATAATATTTTTTAGAGATTGTGTGATTAAAAAGTAATGAAATTTTTTGAATTTACGTGTAAAATATTTTATTGTGTGAGTGATTGAAAATGAATATGAGAAATAAATTAATGCAAAGTAAACTAAATGAATCAAAAGTTAATTTAATAATTAGCTCTAATTATGTGATGATGTCAACACGCTTTGAGTGATTTCACTGAGCGTACGTGTCAAAAGCAGGACAAAAGTTTGAAGATGATGACATCACCTATCTGACGTCATTGCAAATTAACGGCATGGAACATCGTGAAGTCGGACCTACGTAGTGGTACTTTATATTCGTCGACACTTTTTTCCATGGCAATAAGTCATTTTTTGGTGGAGATCAAAATTAAATTTTTAGTAAATTTTGATAAAAATTGATGAAATGTGTAGCTGAAAAGTTACGGAACCTATGAAATATGTGGTTAATATTGATTATTTGACTTTGACTCGAATTAAAATATAATTTTAATCAATATCAAGCAGGGCTAAATAATTCAGAGATGGCAACTGGGCAGGGCGGGTTTCCTGCCCCCCTTTTTTTAACTTAAAATACAAATTCAAAATTTTAAAATTCAAAACAAATAATGATCAAACTAATTATATCAATATTCAAAGCAAGCACTCGAAACAAAAAATGTCCAAAACAATTTTTTTTAATTCTTTACGGGGCTGGTTCGGGACGAGGCATCTCCGCCCCGCGACCTGAGACGGGGCACCCCACACTGCCAACCCGTTCAAGGCGGGTTTTTTTTGCCTGTTTCGGGTCGGGTCGAGAAAATTTGCCGACCCTACTAAATATATTTTAAGCCCCTGTTTGGTGCAAATTTTCAACCCAAGATTGCATTTTTTTTTTTTTTATGTAATGGAGAATATATTGTTGAAAAAAAAGAAAAGTTATTGATGTGATTGAAAATATTATTTTATTGAAAAATGTGTGGTTGAAATTGAATAGAAAAATGAGAATGAAAAAAATAATGTGGCTCAAACATAGGTTAACTATTACTTTCCATACTACCTCCCAAGAGCCATTTTTTAAAACTTTTCTTTTTTATCAAGAGGGTCTACTGTATATTATTATTTTCTGTACTGGTTAGTGATGCACAGTTTCGTGTAAGTCGTCAAACTTGTATAATATTTCAAAGTAGGGTTAGTAAGTAAAGTTTGTTGATTATTTTAAATTAAAATTTGATAACTAATATAAACTCTATTGAAAGTAGAGTAATTCGATATGATTTTTACTAAATAAAAATTTGAGAATTGATATAAATTCTTTAGGAAGTAGGGTAATTCAATATGATTTTTACCAACCAATTTTTGTTTACTAGAGACTTTTATGATGTTACGTCATTTTATCGTGTACTATAATTTAACTTTAGTAACTATAAGTAAAATATTTTTCCACAATTATTCAGTTTATTATACTAAACATATTGACATAAAATAAGAAATGAAACAAGTCATTAGTACTTTGAGACACCTCCCAGCTACCATTGCTAATCCGCCCCCACCCCCACCCCCACCAAGGAGAAAGAGATGATCTGTATTCATCAATATTCATTGTACATAAAACGAGAACACTGGTCCGAATGTCCTATGTCCAACATGTGACATTTCTTTATTTTTAATTGCAGCACAAAATTCCCTTCCTATGTCTCAGTTTGCTTCCTAAAAATGGTTTATCAAAATATTAATAAAATTGCCAATTTATTCCATTTTCAAATCTATAGTCACAAATGGCATAATTCGTCATAAGGTTTGTCTTCAAAATGTGCAAAAGTGAACACAATTTCGACTCATTTCACCAATATACACACAAAAGAATATGTCTAGTTTAAATTATATTTCCTAGGTTCAAAATATTATTTATTTCTATACTTTGACACTCTGCATATGAGTTTTAAAATATTATTTTAAGAACAACATGAATATCATACAGTACATCAGTCAATAACACGTGATGATGTACTTTTTATTGCATGAAACAGATGCATGCATCACGTGAAAATTAAGGTCAATTTAGAACCCAAGGGAGTTTTTCTTAGTCATTGGTATTAATCAACCTATGCAATAATTTTTTTAAAAAAAATATATTGAAATTTTAATAGGGTTTGGAAATATAAATATATAATCATGAATTTTTCTTAGAAAAATCCATAAAAATAAATAAATAAATAACATTCTTACTTGAAAGTTGAGGGATTTGAAGGCCATTCGGATGAATATTTCTCCAAAGGATAACAATGGAGTCTAAGATAATCTCTCCAGTTATGGACAGTCTCCTTCTTCACATTAGAACTCGTAGACAATCTCAGAGTCTTAAAAGGGTCTTCTGAATATAATTTCATTTTTTCCACCAATGGTAAAGTGAAAAATTCATCAGCCACCATCAGCATTTTCTCCATTACTTCTTCTGATACTCCATGATTTATCACCTGATAATACAGATGAAAAAAGAAAAGCAATTACAAAAATAATTGTTAATGGTAATTATACGTGCATCAGGTCTTGCTTATAATTATTTATTTCTATACTTTGACACTCTGCATATGAGTTTTAAAATATTATTTTAAGAACAACATGAATATCATACAGTACATCAGTCAATAACACGTGATGATGTACTTTTTATTGCATGAAACAGATGCATGCATCACGTGAAAATTAAGGTCAATTTAGAACCCAAGGGAGTTTTTCTTAGTCATTGGTATTAATCAACCTATGCAATAATTTTTTTAAAAAAAATATATTGAAATTTTAATAGGGTTTGGAAATATAAATATATAATCATGAATTTTTCTTAGAAAAATCCATAAAAATAAATAAATAAATAACATTCTTACTTGAAAGTTGAGGGATTTGAAGGCCATTCGGATGAATATTTCTCCAAAGGATAACAATGGAGTCTAAGATAATCTCTCCAGTTATGGACAGTCTCCTTCTTCACATTAGAACTCGTAGACAATCTCACAGTCTTAAAAGGGTCTTCTGAATATAATTTCATTTTTTCCACCAATGGTAAAGTGAAAAATTCATCAGCCACCATCAGCATTTTCTCCATTATTTCTTCTGATACTCCATGATTTATCACCTGATAATACAGATGAAAAAAGAAAAGCAATTACAAAAATAATTGTTAATGGTAACTATACGTGCATCAGGTCTTGCTTATATACCTGAAAAAAACCATAATCACGACAGGCATCTCCTATTTGTCGGATTATAAGGGTTTCATCTTCACAACCCAAATCAATCACCGGAACTTTTTCACAGTCGGTAACCTCCGACAGTTTTGGCCGCTCCGGCGCCGGCCGGACATAACCCGTTGGAAGAGTCGAGTATTTGATTCCATTGGAAACTAGTTTTGTTTCCAACAACATGTTGAACTGAAAAGATTTTGGATGGTTGAAGAAAAGGGATTGCATATAAATTGCTGAGGGGAGAAAAGAATGTGGGTTGGAATTGACTTGGTTTTGGTCTTTCTTTATTTATGCCCTGTTTGTTTCGAATAAAAAATCAGATTTCAATCTAAGTTAAAATCAAACAAGTTTTTGGGACTAAATTTCATGGTATTGAATGCATTAAACTCTTGTTCATTTTTTATTCATTGAGAATCGTTTTTCTGCCACACTCATTTCAATCACATTCTCGAAAAAAAATAAATCATTTCTCACGTTTTTCCATAATTTTACTATACTTTTTTTACCACCGAATAAATATTTTTCAAAGCATCTTCTCAAAAAATCTTTATCATTCAAACTCTAAGACAAGAACATAGTTGTGCAGATCATCTTGTCAATATTAGAGAGATGCAAGTAAAAAAATATTATTTAAATAATCCACCAAAATGTAAGAGTCGGTTTCTTAGTAACTACTAACTAGTGAGAATTATTTTTGTTTTCTCCGTATACCAAAAAATAAAGTATATTCTTTTCACGAATATTCAAAGGTACGAACTTTGTTTAAAATTTTGATATTAATTTAAATAAAAGGAATATTATGATAAAATCAAGGAAGGAAATGAGATTTGAAACTGAAATTAAAGGAACGAAAATCGACAGATAAATAAAAGGAATAGGCCTGCTGAATGCAGGGAAGATGATGAACAATTCATTCATTCAAAACTTGAGGAAATTACAATGCAATCTAAGAAAATAGCTAACAAATTATTTAACAAATTAACAAGATAACAAACATAAGAAGGAACTAGAAGGAGCTGTTGTTGAACTGGTTTGCTGGGAACGTCTGGTGAACTGGAGAGAATGGCCGGAGTGAACTGGAGAGAATGGCTGGAGAATATTCCAACATATTCCACTCTCACGACATGATATTTGAATAATATTTATGGAAAATTGCAGCTATGGTACTAAATCTTTCATTTAGCAGTAAATTTTGTCCAAACCTTTCATTTATTTCACTCACGATACCAAACCTTTCAAAATATAGCAGATGGAGTCCAAATGGATGACGTTAATTGACCAGAATAGTAAAAATTGACCAAATGTAATAAGGGTAAATAGTAAGTTTACAATTTTAACATAGAATAATTAGAAAAAAAAATTCTTCTTCTTCTTTTATGTTGGATGAATTTCCTTGCCAATAACCCTGAACCATGGATTCAAGAATATGAAACTAAAATTCTTCCAAAGAACATGAAGAAACTTGCAGTCCAGAAAATCAAGGGACCATAACAACTGAAGAAATTGGCACCACCACAACCACCTGTAGAATTTTCAACCTTATTCCTCCATCTTTTTGTGAGTGAATTTTACGAAAAATTATAAACCGCAATTTTCTTAATTCTCTTCAAAAAAAAAAAAAAGTGAAAAAACATCATCACAACCTATAGCAATTTGAGGAGAAAAAATTCAATGATTATTTTATCTTTTCTTTCTTTCTTTTTTCTAATTATTCTAATTATTTTATATTAAAATGGGTAATTGGCGCAAAACGTCCCTACCTATGACGTGTTGTGTGGAAAACGTCCACACGTTTGATTTTTTGGTGCAGGACGTCCCTACCTATGCATTTTCTTGCGCAAAACGTCATTTTCCCTAATTTTTAACTTAAAATGACCTATATACCCTCCAATTGAAATAAAAGGAAAAGGAAAAAGAAAAAAAAAAAAGAATAAATTATAATTTGCTCCTAAACNCCATTCTCTCTCTAGAACCGGTCTCTTCCCTCCAACCTCCATCCATTCTCTTTACACCGCCCGTCATCATCGTCGACGACTTCGCCCGCCACAACCACTCACAGCATGTATCCAAATAATCCTTCCAGATTGCAATTCAAGGAACCTTGAACTCGTCCAAATTCCAATTCATAGAACCCCCAATTGGCCATTACCAAACTGAAATCCAAAGCAAGAAATCGTCACACTTCCAACTCAATCCAATCACGAGAGAAACCTCCTTGCTCGACTGTTCCCAATTCCAAAATTTGAAGCAAAACCCAGCAATTTGGTCCATCCCTGCTGACCGTTCCTAACCCGACTCCCTCTACAGCGACTATAAACGGCAAAATAGCAAACGATTCAATCGCAAGCTGTGAGCGTTGTTGCGGTGCTGTCTGCTCATGCGCTGCCTCCGCTGTTCTGTTGCTATTTGCTTCTAGTCCTTCACCACCGTTCGCCAGAGTGTTAAGGTCAATTCAATAACAGTTTTGATTTTACTCCCTCTCCCAGTTGCTCCAGCCAATTTCTGATTTTTATCAATTTGTGATTTGTGAATATGTGATTTGTAAATTGTAAATATGTGATGGATAATTGATTTTTGAATTGTGATTTGTGAGATTTAGTTGGGGTCTTCATAAAAAATTCGCCGC